TATATAAATGGAATACACTCTATCGTGTTGATACTAGAAAAACCTATAATGCACAAACAAGATATATACATACATACCCGATGATATATATATATACATAATATACACGTATATATACATATACATATACATATACATATATGTATGGGTATAAGTTCCTTATAGTGATGTGCGGATAAAGTGGGAAATGGATCTTGCTATCTTATAGAGCAGAAGAAATAGAGTCAGAAACAACCTTGTTTAATCTGCAAGGTAATATTCATTGCTAAATGATGAAAATATCATCTCCATATCACCGCTCAGAGTCTAAGTCACTAATCTTGTTTACCCTGCCAGGAAAAACAAAACATGTTGTTATACTTCATTTCGGTGTTTTAAGATTTATCTATACAGTTCTTTAGAACTATCTGCACATTGTGCATTTCAGGCTTTCACAGTTGCCACCCATGAGGTTTGACAGCTCAATGGCCATAACGTGACAGAAGGCCAGTGAAAAATGTTACATTTCCAGTGTTACATTGATTCTGGATTATTCGTAAGACTATAGAGTGGCATCAAAAAGGAAATAGTCTGATAACCATCCCAGCTTGATATCTGAACCCATCAAGAGCCCCAAATGCTAATAAAGGTGATTAAAAACAAAGCAATTCCGACAGTAGAAAGGAGCAAACGAAAGTGTGACGTTTCCAGATATAAAGGTATTTGGTTAATTTTTAAAAAAAAAAGATAGGTCAATCTTCTCTCTTCGCTGTAACATATCTCCTTTATTTTCGATTTGTGCACTTTATGACATAGATGAAAAGTGTCTTATTTATGTCAAGGTAATCATTCCATACACTTTGTTTTGCTGTAACTCTGATTGTTATCCACTTTAAATTTACCCTTGGATCTCCTCAACAATTCATTTGCACATGAAACAACAGTATTACTGGAAAAAGGTGTCACCAAAGAATCAGCCTTGAAGGTATTTAATTAATGATCACTTTTCATTAAATAAACTTGTCTCGCAAATAAATAATAACAAAGTTATTTAATTATCAAAATAAATAAAAACAATATTAAAAGGAGGTGAGATTCACACAATCACTGAGGGAATACTGACACAGTTCTCCACTGCGCATGCACGGGGCCAATGAATTAGCTAAAATAATCTATAAATTTCAATTTTCAATTAGTTTTGCCATGGCCTGTGTGTGTGAAAGGTGTTGCATTAAACCATACCATGTTGTAAAAAATTATTTTGAAGATGATGAGGCTAGCCTGAAATTATTGCATGATCACGGAGTGCTACCCTCTTAAGTGCTCTGCAAATTGTGCAATTTACCCTGCACATGAAGAAGTGGTCGGTGGTTCTCTCGATAAGAGGGGAGGACATTGTCGTTGAGATTGACAAGGCATAGAGAGGGAGTCGAAGAAGTGTTTCCCCATTCCCCTAGTGCCTCCCCTGTCCCCTAACAGGAGGAAGGACGCTCTAGTTCCTCTAATAAGAAAATATATTCTTCCGGGAACCACAACTTGTAGTTACAGTTGGGGAACCCACCTTGGGCTTGACAAGGAGGGTTACACGCAAGTCATTAACCACTCAAAAGAGTTTACTGATTGAGCATGAAATCCACACGCAGAACATCGATAGACTTTGGAGTGACGTCCAGGAGTGGCTTAAATGTCCAGGTAATAGAACTGAGTATTACCAGCAATACCTCTCCTGTTACCTATTCATCCATAAGAACTTTTCATAATTTTCTGGTTGAGACTGCCCGTCTATAAGGGAGGGCATGAAGTATATCAGGAAAATTATGGGGTATGCAACTGCCATCTTTGAAATTCTACGTACTGACAAACCAAAATTCAAAAACTTTACAGGAACCCAACCCATCTTTCAGCAAAATTCTATGGGAATTCACATGTTCCAAAGCCCCCAAAAATGTATTGCACAATAAACCAGCCTAATATAACAATTTAAGTTGCTGCGACTAGGAGTGCACTTTGAGCACTTCCTGAGGGGATGGTTGATGGGGAGGGAACCCCCAACAACCCCCGGGACACATTCTTTTCATCTCAGTATGTAAGGCCCGATAGAGCTGCATTCACACAGTAAACAATAAACC